GCCCGCTGCTCCCCAGGGCCTGCTCGCCCCCGACCCGCTGGGGCATTTGGCCACCTACTCCAGAGGGAATCTCCTTCCCCGGCCTAACTGGAACAAAAAGGTCTCACCCTCTGTCTCTCTGCGTGTATACATATATGTGTGTATGTAGCTGTTATTGTAGATATATGTCTGGATATATGTGCGTATATATATATAAACACATTTATGCATATATTAATTTAGGTGCGTATACACAATGAAGGCAGAGTACAGCCCAGCAGGCACCCAGGGGAGCACCTGTGCAGTGAGCACGGCTGCAGGTGCCAATCCCACAGGAAAATGGCCTGACTGGATCGTGCACGTGTGCGGGGGTTGAATCGCCAAGGGCTCCTGCTCCTCTCTGTTTCCCAAGGAGATGAAGAGATGAAACTCACTGTGCTGTGGTGAAAATGACTGTATGCATGTGCTTCTTACAGATGCGCCTGTTGGAGCACTCTGATCTAGATGCCTTGCAGTCATCCGGCTGGAAGGACCTGCGATGAGTCTGAACTTTGGACCATTTTGGATTATCTGAAGGAGAGATGGCTGCACCCTCTTGAGCTTCCCTCCCACCGTGGCACCTTGCACCTCTGGTTAAACCTGTTGTTCAGGTACTGTCAAAAATCATCCAAGTCTTGCAGGGTGAAAACCCCAAATCCAGAAAAGGCAGGACCAGTCAGTATTGAAGCCAAGAGCTTTTTGCAACAAGGTCCATTTGAATGCTGTCTGATCTTAAATCTGTAGGACTCTGGGAAGACCAGATGATTACATCTCATGAAATCCTGCATCTTCAGTACTTAGCATTCATGTCACTGTCCCCTTCATGGCCAATGCCAAAAAAAAAAAGTCTCTGCAGAGATCTGCTTGTCATTTTGGAACGTGATTTCACCCCACATTACAATCCAGTAGACTTCTAATGGTCTAGCAGAGACTAAAGGATTTTCCAAGTTTCAGAGTTATCTCCACACTGACTCCAACTCTCAGCATAGCGTGGGAAAATGCACAGATTTCTTTATAAGCAGGGACCCCAGAGTTTTTCACAGGTAGGACAGCTCTGCCTGCATGAGGCAGCCTGTCTTGGCCTTTCCATTATATCTTAATTACTGTTTTGGTTGAGAAGAGGATAATATTATATATTAAGTTGGCAGAGATACTGTTAGGTAAGGATTAAATAACATTTACTGCAAGGAAAGCATAAAAGATTCCTGGGGTACTAAGTGTTGTTACTACAAATGCAGCTTTAAAAAATCAGTGAAAAAATCTTTAGTATGTGTCTGTATAAACCTTACAGATCCTTATAAAGTGAATTTTGGCCTTGAAAACACAACACAGATAGAGACTTATAGCTAGAGATTAAAAAACTGCTGGGAGTTACAAGATCAGAATTAGTAATTAAGACAGTGTTGGTAGTTAGGGTATCAGGAAACTTTGGCTAAAATTAGATTTCTGGTACTCAAGGTGACTTCCTGCATCCTCTTCATAAAATGTGATAAAAGCTGTGGTTTTCCTGCAATATATGATTATGCCAACTTTTTTAACATAGATATGTGTGTATTTGTATTAGCTGACAAAGGGATGTCCAAAGTTGGCATCTCATATTAAAACTTCTGTGTTCTCATGTCAGTGATGACTGAAATGCAGTGGTATCTCAGCTCAGCCACCTTGATGGGGTTCTTCAAGACTGGATGTTACAAACCAAGAGGTCTTTCTCTTTTTTTGTGAATGTTAACATTTTTTTCTCATCATTTTACAAATGGAACAGTTACCTGTGTGATTTAACTGAAATACCCTTTCTTCTTTCACTGTTTTGTAACTTATCTTCAGGGCTGGACAATCTACATGTACTTGTACTGCAGGTGTACGTGGTAAACACAGCTGTCTGTTTCGGTGTTGTGAACTGTGTGATTTGGGCTTTATTAAGGGATAAAATCTGAATTCAATGCAATTTTGCATGGACGAGTGGGTCAGTAAAAGTAAAGAATATGAATGAAAAGATGGAAATATAGGGAGGGAAGAATAAATATCTTGTATTTAACATCTTTGTCTGCAACATGGACAGTGGGATTGAGTGCACCCTCAGCAAGTTTGCCAGTGACACCAAGCTGTGTGGTGCGGTCAGTGCACTGGAGGGAAGAGAGGCCATCCAGAGGGACCTGGACAGGCTGGAAAGGGGGGGGCACTGCCAACCTCATGGAGTTCAGCCAGGCCAAGTGCAAGGTCCTGCACCTGGGTCGGGGCAATCCCAGCACAAGGACAGGCTAGTTGGAGAGTGGACAGAGAGCAGCCCTGAGGAGAAGGACTTGGGGGTACTGGTGGACAAAAAACTGAACATGAGCCGGCAATGTGCGCTGGCAGCCCAGAAA